CACATACACATACACATACACATACACGTGCATGTACACAAACACATACACATACACCTACACATACGCATACGCATGCACATACACGTACACATACATATACATATACGTATACATATACATATGCACAGACATTCACATATACATATACATATACATAAACATGTACGTAAACACGTATCTAAACATATACATATACGTATACATGTACCTATACATATGCATACACGTGTACATATAAATATACATATGATATACATTACATATACATTTACATATATATAGCTATATATACAAGTACATATACATATATATGTACGTGTTTAGATATATATATATATATGTATTTAAATAAATATATACACATGCATTTACATATACACATATACATAAACATATACATAAACATAAACATCTACATATACATATACATATACATATGCATATACATACACACATACATACATATACATACACATATGCATACACATATACATATACATATACATATACACATACATGTACATATACATATACATATACATATACATATACATATACATATACATATACATATATATATAAACATGTACATACAGATATGCATACGCATATGCATATACATATATACATACAAAGACATATACATATACATATGCATATACATAAAGGTATACATATACATATACATATGCATATACATATACATATGCATATACATATACATGCACAATTACATATACATGTACATGTACACAAACATATACATATATACATGTATATAAACACATCCATATACATATATATATGTATATGTCTGTAAATACATATATGTATATGTCTGTAAATATACATATACATATATACATATATATATATATATGTATTGGGGCTCCAGGAGACCCGAAAATGTCCATATCCACCGCCTTCCAATGTCTGTGAAGATCGATCCCCAAGACAGTGGCTATGGATAGATCCCCGCCTCGGGCAAATCGGCGGCAAATTCCCCGATAGACCCCCGATAGCGAATCCACACTGTCCTGGGCGGGGTGGGCTATTGGGCCCCCTCTCGGCGATGGATGGGCGATCGGGGCTCGATCCGTCCCCCCCTCCCGTTGCCCCTGACCCCGGACCCAGACCTGTCGGGGGATGAATTCCGACTTTGCGCGCGCTGGCGACCCCTGGCCCCCGAAAGGGAGAAAATTCAACCTACTTGACTTGGGTTCGTTCTTATTGTTTTACGTGCTTCTTTTCCTCACACGCTTTATTATCTTCTTTTATCATTCGATAATTTCCTCTACGTCTCTTTCTCTGCTCCGTTTCTCTCTCTCTCTCTCTCTTTCTCTATTTCTCTTTTCTCCAACGTGATTTTTTCTTGTTGCGTTCTTGAAAATGTTGTTCGGCACCAAACGATTTCTTTTATAAGGCTGCCACAAAAGAAATCCTCTTGTAAGGCCGCCCCAAAAGGAATCCTTTTGTAGCGCCGCCACAAAAGGAATCCCTGTGTAATCCTTTTGTAAGGCCGCCGCAAACGCCACGGGCGGGCACGCGAAAATGCAAAAAAAAAAAAAAAAAGCAAAAACAAACAAAAAAAAAAAAAACCTAAGAAATCCATGCGAAAAAGCTGCAAAACATAAGGAAAAGCAAGGTTTCTGACAGCTGGTGTTTACGAAACCTGTGAAAACACAGTGTTTCGTGACGTCGATGAGCCAAAACCCTGTGTTTTCATAGGTTGAGTGGCTATCAGGCGTCCAAAACCCTGGTGTCCTTTAGGTTTTGCAATTTTTTCTCATGGATGTCATTGGTTTTCTTTGTTTTTTTGCTTTTGCCTTTTTTTGCATTTTCGCTTGTTCGCGCCGTGGCGCTGCGCCGGCCCTCGCGCCGCCAGGGGGCGGGCAGGCGAGAATGCGAAAAAGGCAAGCAAAAAAAAAAAACAAAAAAAAAAAAAAAAAAAAAAAAAAAAAAAAAAAAAAAAATCCCAAGAAAATCATACGAAAAAGCTGCAAACACTAAGGAAAACCAAGGTTTTGGCAAGCTGCTGCTCACGAAAACTGTTGTTGTGTTTTCTTTCTCTTATTTTTTACATATATATATATATATATATATATATATATATATATGTGTATATATATATATATAACAAAAAATGTTTCGTGACGTCGATGAGCCATAACCATGTGTTTTCATAGGTTTGGTGGCGATCAGGCGTCCAAAACTTTGGTTTTCCTTAGGTTCTGCTATTTTTCGCATCGTTTTCTTAGGATGTCATTGGTTTTCTTTGTTTTTTGTTCCTTTTTGTCTTTTTTGCATTTTCGTTTGTTCGCGCCGTGGCGCTGCGCCGGCCCTCGCGCCGCCAGGGGCGAACAGGCGAAAATGCGAAAATTGCAAAAATTGCAGCAACAACAACAAAAAAAAAAAATGACATCACAAGAAAACCATGCGAAAAAGCTGCAAACACTAAGGAAAAGCAAAATTTTGGCCAGCTGAGCTTGCTAGAAACGGAAGTCATTTGTAATTCGCCACAGAAGGAATCCATTTGTAATCCGCCACAAAGGGAATATCTTTGTATTCCGCCACAAAAGGAATACATTTGGAATCCGCCACAGAAGGAATCAATGTGAAATCCGTTACAAAAGGAATCCAATCGTAATCTCCCACAAGAGGAATTCAATTGTAATCCACCACAAAAGGAATCCATTTGAAAATGTGATACACAAGAAATCCATCGATACGGAGCACAAAAGGAAGCCAATGGGGAGATGAGAGGGAGCCAAGAGGAAGCCAAAAGATAGCCAAGAGGAGCTTGCTGAAGGTTTTGAAAAAAAGGGGGGATTGCTCGCGTTTACCGATGCCCACGAAGGCTTCTTGAGGTTGTGAAAAGGGGGGTATTATGTGCATTGTTTGACAATTTTTGCGGGGGGCGGAGCGCACAAACATGAAGTTCTGGGGCGCCTGTCGCAGAACATTGTTGTCGAAAATGCAAATTTCGATATGACGTTTAGCACTTGTCGAGGGTATGTGTTTCCTGAGAAATTGGAGTGCCGATGTTTTGGGTGTCTTTGGGGTGTCTTTCGGGTGCTTTCCGGGTGCCTTGATCATGAAGTCTTGGGTCGCTTGGAGCAAAGCGTTGTTTTCGTAATCGCAGGTTTCAATTGTAAATGCAACATTTTGGGAAGAGTTCTTGTTTCTGGAAATTTGGCGTGGGCAATTTGCGGCTGCCTTTGGGGTGCATAGCGGGTGCCTTGCGGATGCTTTGCGGGAGCCTTGGCCATGAAATCTTGGGTCGCTTGGAGCAAAGCGTTGATTTCGTAGTCGCACATGTCCATAGCACGTGCAAGATGTTTCGAGGACAATTCGGGTGCCTTTCCGGTGCTTTGCGGGTGCCTTAGGGGTGCCTTTCGTGTGAAGTTGTTTTCTTTCAGCCCTTTCTCATATTGCGTCCATCTTGCCCCTCTTGTCCCCTTTTGTCCCTTTTGTCCCCTTTGTTCCTCTTTGTCCCCTTTGTTCCCTTTGCCCCCTTTTGTCCGCTTTGTCCCTTTTTGGCCCCTTTGTCTCTTTTGTTTCCTTTTGTCCCCTTTTGTCCCTTTTGTCCCCTTTTGTCCCCTTGTGTTCCCTTTGTCCCCTTGTGTTCCCTTTGTCCCCTTTTGTCCCCTTTTGTCCCCTTTTGTCCCCTTTTGTCCCGTTTGCCCCCTTTGCCCCCTTTTGATATTATTGAATGCCTTTTGTCCCTTTGTCCCCTTTTATCCCCTTTATCCCCTTGTCACTTTTGTTCCCTGTTGTTGCCATTTGGAGTGGTACCTGGAGCCTTGGAGTGCTCATCGGGCGCCTCCCCAGGGCACTCGGAGGACGCTAAACGTACGATATCTCCCTGGTGTTTCCCTGGTGTCTCCCTGGTGTCTTCTTCGTGTCTCCCTTTTTTTTGTTTTGTTTTTTAGTCCCCTTTGTCCCCTTTTGTCCCTTTTGTCCCCCTTTGTCCCCTTTGTCCCCTTTGTCCCCTTTGTCTTCTTTGTTCTCTTTGTCCCCTTTTGTCCCCTTTGTTCCTTTTTGTCCCCTTTGTCCCTCAGGATGCTTATTGGAGATCTCCCAGGGCCAGAGAAAACGAAAAAAGGGAGACACGAAGGAGACACCAGGGAGTCACCAGGAAGACATCGTGAGTTTAGCGTCTTCCGAGGCTCATTTGGAGCACCAGAAGGACCAGGAGGAGGAGCAGGAGGATTAGTAGGAGGGAGGGAGGAGGATGGGAGAGAGAAGGACGAGGCGGAGGAGGCGGAGGAGGAGACACAGCGTCCTCCGAGTGCCCTGGGGAACTCTTTCCGAGTGTCGTGCGCATTGATAGCAGCGCCATCGGTGCCTTCGGAGTGCCTTTCGGGTGCTTTGCGGGTGCCTTGGGGGTGCCTTTCGGGTGCTTTGCGGGTGCCTTGGGGGTGCCTTGGGGTGCTCATCGGGCGCCTCCCCAGGGCACTCGGAGGACGCTAAACGTACGATATCTCTCTGTATCTCCCTGGTGTCACCCTGGTTTCCGTTGTCTTTTTATTTTTTAGGCCATGGAACACCTCCGGAAAGCACCCCGAGAACACCACGGCGGTGCGGAAGAGGCCCGCTACCAGGTCGACGGCTGTTCTAGAGACCATTGCTACGAAAAAAAAGCGCGTCTGAGCGATTCATCTCTAGCGGCCACTGACGCATGCGAGGGAACCAGCTATCTTCTTATGCGGAAGCTCGCGATTGCGTTTGTTGGCCCGCGCGAGGAAAATATTACGGAGAATCAGTCGCTATGTTGATATGCATGTGTTTATGCATGCATGCGTGCGCGTACATATCTCCGCAATTCGTACGATGGTGCATTTGTAGATTCACTTGGTAAGAAAAACCTTGTTGCAATCACGGAAAACACAAGTCAAATAGGGTGAATTTTCTCCCCCTCCCGAAAGGCCCCCCCCCGAATCTCAGGCTCTGGTCGCCGGCGACCCTCATTGCTTCCCGCCCCAGCCGGCGCCGGCCTGCAGCAGCGCGTGCCGCCGCATGACCTCCTCGGCGGCGGTCGTCGTCGCAGTCCCCTCCTCCTCCTCCTCCTCCTCCTCCTCCTCCTCCTCCCTCCTCTCCTCCTCCTCCTCCTCCTCCTCCTCTCACTCCTCCTCCTCACTCCCTCACTCCTCACTCCTCACTCTCACTCCTCACTCCTCACTCCTCCTCCTCCTCCTCTCCTCTCCTCCTCCTCTCCTCCTCTCCTCCTCCTCCTTCTCCTCCTCCTCCTCCTCCTCCTCTCCTCTCCTCCTCCTCTCCTCCTCCGCCTCCGCCTCCGCCCCCCTCCCCTCCTCCTCCCCCTCCCCCTCCCCCTCCTCCTCCTCTTCCTCCTTCTCCTCCTCCTCCTCTTCTTATTATTATTATTATGTTTCTTCTTATTCTTATTATTATGATTATTAGTATGATTATTATTATTACTATTATTATTAGTATTATCATTATTATTATTATTGTTATTATTATTAGTAGTAGTATTATTATTATCATTATTATTAGTACTATTAGTAGTAGTAGTAGTACTATCATTAATATTAGTATTATTATTATAGTATTAGTATTATTACTATTATTGTTATTATTATTACTACTATTAATATTAATATTATTAGTATTACTAGTATTACTATTCTTATTATTACTATTATTATCAGTATTGTTATTATTGTTATTATCATTATTATAGTATTATTATTAGTATTGATAATATTCTTATTCTTATTCTTTTTATTATTAGTATTATTCTTATTCGTATTATTCTTATTATTCTTGTTTAGTACTATTAGTATTGATAATCTTCTTATTAGTAGTATAATTCTTCTTATTCGTATTATTCTTATTCGTATTATTCGTCTTGATAACCTTCTTATTAGTATTATTAGTATTCGTCGTATTATTATTATTATTCCTATTCCTATTCTTCTCATTATTAGTGATTATTATTATTGCTTTCTTATTCTTCTTATTAATATTGATATTAGTACTATTATGTTTCGTCTTCTTATTATTCTTATTATTCTTATTCTTATTATTATTAGTATTAGTCTCCTCATTCGTATTATTCGTCTTATTCTTCTTATTCTTAGTAGTCTTCTTAGTATTATGTTTATTCTTCTTCTTATTATTAATATTATTATTCGTCTTCTGATTCTTATTATTATTAGTATGTTTCTTCCTCCTCCTCCTCCTCCTAATCCTCCTAATCCTCCTCCTCCTCCTCCTAATCCTCCTCCTCCTCCTCCTCCTCTTCCTCGCCCGCCTCCCCGTCATACTTTCCCTCACCGTCCTCCGCCTCATTCCCTCTCCCCTCCTCTTTCGAACGCGAAAGACACCGGTACCCTTACCCAGGCGGGGTGGCAAGGGGCGGGGGGAACGACGCGCCGCAGCCGACGGCGGTTGCACAAGTGCAGATGCGACGGCCACTGCAACATTACAGGACGCTGTCTTCTCCGGGCATCCGATGGCACCGAAGGCGCGCGCGTTCCAATTGGCAGAGTGGCCGACCACGCATTGGTCGCTCTCGGGCGAGGGTAGCTCGTTCGGCGGTGCGCCCACGAAGGAGCACAATCAAGCGTTTGGGGCTCGACGCGCAATATGCGTCCTGGGTGTCCTGGGCGGGCGCCGCTGCAATCCCACACTCGCCCCAAACGCCTGGGGCCCCGAACGCCAGGCGCGGCCGCCAGGAGCTATTCCCCGGAAAACCCACCTGGCGTCACCCCAGGTAGGTCCGAGCACGCGTCGGGGGCACAGTCGCCGACGCACGTTGATGGTGCCCCCGGACACGTACCCGTATCTAGTCGAGGTGGTGTTTCGTCGAAATCGTTTTCGGGCGCACGCGCGGCCCCCGAGAGCGCTCCCGAACGCGGCCGCAGCGGCCACCGGGGGAGCGTGAGACTGCAACGACGCTCCTGCGGGCAGGCCCAAACGCAACGGAGTGGTGGTGCCTGTCCCCAACTGGGACAGGCACCACCACTCCAATGCTGTTCTAAACCCCGCGGACACCCCCGATGCCCCCAGACGTCCCTGACGCTGCAATCAAACAGCCAGCCGTTCAGCGTGTCGTTGCGTCCTGACGCGCGGATGCTGCAACAGCGCGCACGCGGCAGGCTGATCGGGCGCACTGGCAAGCGCCCAATCCAGCGTACGGCCCGTTTCACCCAGGCCGACCCCGGGTAAGGGTATGTTTAGGACCGATGATCCTCCTCATCCGCCTGAGATTTCATCGTATGGTCCTGAAGCTTGAAATTTGCGACTGTTGTAATGATGAAGCACAAGGCGTTTTCGAAACGGAGCCATCGCATTAGCGCCGAGCGCTTGCGTCTTAAAAGCGTGCACCAAAGATAATAATGAAGCATAGGTCGTTATCAAATGAGGCTATCGCTTGAGTGCCAAGCACGGTCGTCTTAAACGCTGTGGCCGCAGTCACAAAGGATGGAAGGGCGGCTCCTTGTCAAAACGGGGCCATCGCATTAGCGCCGCGCATATTCGTCTTCAACGTTTGCAACAATTACAAAGACGGAGGGCGGCTCCTTTTCAGCATGGGGTCTCGCGTGAGACTGCATTCAAGTCAAACGTAGCAGCTGCACAGATAGAGGGCGACTCCTCTTCGAATGGATACAGAAGAGAAAGAGAGAGAGAGAGAGAGAGATAAAAAAAAACAAAAAAAAATGAAAGAGAAAGAGAGAGAGAGAGAGGAAAAGAGGGAGAGAGAAAGATGTATAAGGAGAGAGAGAGAGAGAGAGAGAGAAAAAAAAAAAAAGGAGCGAGAGACAGAGAGAGCGAGAGAGAAAGGGATAGAGAGATAAAGGAAGAGAGGGACATCGAGGAAAAGTGGTGTGTACTTCATACATATGTAGCGAAAGAGAAAGAGAGAGAGAGAGAGAGAAAACAAAAAAAAAAAAAAAAAAAAAAAAAAAAAAACGAGAGAGAGAGAGAGACAGGCAGACAGACAAACAGACAGAGAGACATAAAGAAAGAGTAAGAGAGAGAGAGAGAGAGCAAGAGCAAAAGCAAGAGCGAGAGCAAGGTAAGGGAAGAGAGGAAGGTGCTAAACAAGAAGTTGTGCGCGCGGGAGGGGGGGCAGTCAAGAGGGAGATACGCGGGGCAAGAACTAATAGGGAGCCACGTGCGAACCCTACCCCTACCCCACACAGTTTCGGAGGGGGGTAGGGGTGGGGCTCGCACGTGGCCCCCGAACTGACAAGGAGGTCGAAGACGAGGAACGACGGCAGGTCCTGGACGACCGCCAGCGTGCCAGAGCGGCACGCGACGTGCAGGCAGGTCGTGCCGTTGGCGTCGCACGCGTCGATGCTGGCGCCTGCCGCCACCAGCGCAGCGGGCGCGGGCACTGCTCCACATCCTCATCCTCGTGCTCGTCGTCGTCATCCTCCTCCCCTCCCTACTCTCTCTTCCTGGTTACTGCTCCTCCTGCTGCTGCTGGTCATCGTCATTACCATCCGCCTCCACCTCTGCCTCCTCCTCCTCCTCCCTCCATGCTCTCTGTTCCCTCCTTCCTCTTTCCTTCTCCTCCTCCTCGTGCTGTTCCGTCTGCTCATCCGCTTGGTCATATTGTTGATGCTCCTGCTGTTGCTGCCTCATCCTCCTCCTCCTTCCCCTCCTCCTCCTCCTCCGCCCATCGCGCAGCACCAGGTCGTCAAGTCTCTAGTGGAGGCTTGAATGAGCCAGCGAGACGAAAGGAGGGGACCGTGCGCCGCCCCACCGACAAGATCGGGGACGCGGAAGCCACACGTCGTGGCATTTCATTGTTTAGTCAGCGGCGCAAGAGGGTCCTCCAGCGCGGGCAGCAGGTGAAATGTGCGGACTGCGACCGAGCACTGTCGAAGGCACATGTGTACGAGACGTCGCACACTGTAAAGTGCACACGATGGGCGGTGTGCAGGCGGGACTGCTGTCCCAAGCGTGGACACGCAGCTGGGGGGCCACATCTGCCCCCGAGCAGCGGCCAGAAGACTGTGCACGCCGTGCCGTCTCGCCGCGCCACGGCCGGAGCTCCGCGAAAGACGCGAGCACCAGCGCCGGCAGGCCCGCTCCCGTGCGCACGGGCCACGCCTGGTGCCGCGCGGCAGGCTCCCGCGGGCCCCGCGGGCGCGGGCGCGCAGGTGCCCCAGCGCGAGCCGCGGGGGAGTCGGGCGGCGACGCGAGCCACGAGGCGTCGGGCTGCAGCAGAGGGGGAGCGGCAGAACGAGTTGCGCGCCACAGCCTGAAGGGAAAAAGGAGGAGTGCGGCCGCGGCCGAGGGCGAGGGACGGTCCCGAGCTCAGTCCCCAGGAGTCGTGCGAAGTGGCCAGAAGCAAGTGCACGGAGAATTTCTGAGCGCAACGGAGCCAGTGCATACCAGGCAAAGTTGCGCTTGGATTCCTTCAGCTCTAGAGCCGAAGCCTCCTTTGGTTTTATGGCCCTGGCTCGCCTATGAAGGTCCGGCTTCCTGTGAGTTGAAGGAAAAGTGTTAGAATCAAGATTGCGACCTGTGGTCCAGCCGCGGAGAGGACGAGTCCCCACTGAAATCCGTTCAGAATTAACGACGCGACACGACGGAAGGGTAACGCTTCGCCGCCACCCGCCTTCTCCTTCGATTCCTTGGCAAATTGTCAAGCAAATTCCAGTGAGAGCGCGATGCCTTAATAGATTGCTAGGCCGTTGCTTTTGCACCCAGGGGCCCAACAGCACGGGTTCAGCCTCAAGACTGTCCTTGACGAAACCCGGTGCGAACGTCGGCGGGCGCACCTCAAAACCAATGCGCACCGGGAGGGGGGATCAGCACCAACTATCCCTCTGGAGCTAAATACCAACAAAAATCATGTTAAGTCCGTTTGCTTCTACATGCTCGCGTGTCACTCAACATGTATCGGAGGTTGGGGGGTGAGTCCGACGTGAAACGGAGACCCCCCTACCAGGAAATCGATTTCGGTTTCGGGTTCGTGTCGTGCGTGCCGTGCGCGCGTGCGGGCGAGGCGAAACTGCGTGGGCGGGCGAGAAGAAATCCTCTTGTGGCTGGGCCGCGGCCGGACCAAATGTTTCTCCTCCTGCAGCCGGTGGCCCGCGGTGTCCCGCCGGTGTCCCGCTGGTGTTCCGAAATCCTACTGTGGCTGGGCCGCGGTCGGGCAAAATGTTTCTCCTCCGGCGGCCGGTGACCCGCGGTGTCCCGCTGGTGTCCCGCTGGTGTCCCGTGGTGTCCGCCGTTGCTAGGGAGAAGTCAAGACAAATGATTCTCCCCCTCCCGCCCGCCCAGCGGTGGCTCGCGGTGTCCCGCGGTGGCCCGTGGTGTCCCGTGGTGTCCCGTTGAATGAGATCGATAGTGAGATCGATAGTGAGATCGATACTGAGATCGATGGATCGATACTGAGATCGATGTGGTGCCCCGAGGTGTCCCGTGGTGTCCAAAAAAATGAAATCGATAGTGAGATCGACAGGTGTCCCGTGGTGTCGCGTGGTGTCCCGTGGTGTCCCGTGGTGTCCCGTTGAGTGAGGTCGATATTGAGATCGATAGTGAGATCGATAGTGAGATCGATAGTGGCGTCCCGAAGTGTCCCGTGGTGTCCCGTGGTTTCCTATGGTGTCCCGTTGAGTGAGATCGGTAGTGAGATCGAAAGTGAGACCGATAGTGAGATCGAAAGGTGTCCCGCGGTGTCCCGTGGTGTCCCGTGGTGTCCCGTGGTGTCCCGTTCAGCGAGATCGATAGTGAGATCGATAGTGAGATCGACAAATGTACCGTGGTGACCCGTGGTGTCCCGTGGTGTCCCGTTGAGTGAGATCGATAGTGAGATCGATTGATTCAGATGTTGGTTCCCCCCCCCTCTCCCCCCCCCGCAACCTCCGTATCACCCGAAGGGGGGTCGTATAGGTATCTCAAAACCCTCGATACCCGCCCTATCCTTCTTCGATTGCATCCCCCTCTGCGGGTATACATTCCTTACCTGCCACGTGCAGTTGGTGCAGACCCTGAACATTTTTCCGTCAGCGGCGAGGCGGGGCAATCCGCACCAGTGAAAGAGCGAAGCAGGGGCACTCTCTCCCTCCCTCCCTGCCTTCCCTTCCCTCCTCCCTCCGCCTCCTCGCATCTTCCCCCTCCCTGCCTCCCCCATCCTCCCTGCTCCGCCGCACCACCTCCTCCCTGTCCTACCCCACCTCTCTCCCTCCTCCCCCGTCCCCCTTCCTCCTCCTCATCATCCCCCTCATCCTCCCCCCCCCCCCTCCCGACGACGACAACGACGACGACGACGACCTCGACGACGAGGACGAGGCCACGCGCGCCCATTCGAAGCAACCACCGCACGGCGGCCAGGTTGGAGGTGCCGCAGAAGAGCAGCAACTGCCGGTCCAGCGACCCCAGGTCCTCGTGGCTGGGAGGACGCCGGCGGCGCTCCCGGCCATGAACAGCGTGGTGTGAGCAGCTCTGAAAAACTCAAAGAACGGGGCGTATGTGCTTCGATCTGAGCCCGAAGACCCTCTCAGTGAATCGGTTCAGCAGATACTGTGCTGCATGCGCCGAGTATACGGGGCGAGCTGACTGCACTTCCTGTCTGGGCTACATCAAGTGTGACGTATGTGGCGAGTGTCGGATAACACATTGACCTCGGACAGACTGCTCGACCAAAGCAAGCGACGATAAAACGAGTCCATCGTGGCCACACGATGCATATTTGGGAGACGTGCACTCACCACCACCTTGGAGGTGCAGGAACTGCTGGCTTGCGGCATGCGGTTGTGAAGTATGCCGCTCGAAAGCGCCAGATGACGAAATTACTTTTGCACCATCTTCATAGAATTTTCGGAGGTCTGTGCGGATTTCTTGGGTCAGTGCTGGACCCCCCTTCCCGCACACCTGGCGGCGACTCTAGCACCTGCCCAGGAGCGTTCCGCTCAACAGGGAGAAGGTGCAGGGAGGGGGTCCAGCGACGAGGTCGGAGGATCGGGCCGCATCTAAGATGGATCGATGCATCGGCGACGTCGGCGTAAATAAAATCGGGCTCCACATCGGGCCGTACCGCCGAGGCAGAGCAATCCTTCGACCCCATCTACTCGGAGCCCGCGTGAGAGGCCTAGACAAACCGACCCGCTGTGCAGAAGGAAAGGCCGTTCCTCTCGCACCTCCTCGACCTCCTCCTCCTCCTCCTCCTCCAACATCCTCCAACCTCCTTCCTCCTCCCTCCTTCTCCCTTCCTCCTCCCTCCTCCCTCCTCTTCCGGTGTTTGAAGGAGTCTAGTATTTGCTTCTGTTCATCCTTCCGACGGCCCGAGACGGCCCAAGAGCTTCCAAAGATCGCCCAAGATCGCCCAAGAGGCCTCCAAGATGGCCCCAAAACGGCCGAAGAGGCACCCCAAGGCGGCACAAGAGGCCTCCAAGACGCCCAAGATGGCCGCCAAGACGGCCCTGGAGCACCACAAGAGGGCCCCAAGTCGCCCCCACAAAGGCCCCCAAGATGGCTTCCGACGGCGTCAGAGGGGCGAGGAATGCCTAAGACGGCCAGCCAAAAAAGCCCCCGAGAATCCACCAAAGGCCCCTAAGAGGCCCAGGGAGGCCTCCAAGATGCCTCCGAAAGGCTCCGGGAAGCTCTCAGGAAATACCAAGAGGGCCCCCAGGGGCTCCAAAAATGGCCCTCCTCCTCCTCCTCCTCCTTCTCCTCCTCCCCTTCATCCTTCCTCCTCCTCCTCCTCCTCCTCCTCCTCCTCCTCCTCTTCCTCCTCCTCCTCCTCCTCATCCTCATCCTCCTCCTCCTCGTCCTCCTCCTTCTGATCATGATATTCCCCGCTATCCTCCCCAAAATGTTTCCCGAAGGGTTTCAACAAAGGCTGGGGATGCACATGGCCCAATATCCTGGCTGCGCTCTTGCCACAACGCTCGGCCACATGGGCGATTACAACAAGCAAAGGGCGGCGGTGATTCGCCGCAGACGTTTGCGATAGTGCTGTCGGTGTTACAGTGCTGTTGAATAGCCAGACTCGGTGAGCCAAAGAGTAGTACTTACCGTGCCCTCCGCCCTCGCAGGGGCGGGGCACGTGGCGCTGGGAGGGGGCAAAGGCGAGGGAGGGGCCCGGCGGCTCTCGGGAGGGCGGAGGGTGCTCAGTGGGCAAGGGCGCTCCGTGGGCGAGGGCGAGGGCGAGGAGGGCGGGGGCGCTGGCCAGGGGCGAGGAAGGCGGGGGCGCAGCGAAGGCACCTAGGGCCGGGAACGCGAGGCGAGCAGGGCGAGGGGGCGGAGGAGGGCGAGAGGGGGCGCAGGAGGTGAGGAAAGCGAGGGCGGGGGTCCTCCAGCGTCTCCTCGAAGGTCGCGCCCGCCGGGTCGCCACCGGGGCGCTCGTCGTCGAAATCGTCGCCGTTGCCTCCCAGTGGCGGCGGCGGCGGCGGTGGCGGGGTGACAATCGAGATTCGAGGATCGAGGATCGAACTTGGAGGTGTTAATACGTTTGTCGCACTGCCCTTCCTGGGCCATTGGCAGACTTCTCGACGCCAAGGCTAGAGTCCGTCGAGATCCTGGCCAAAAGTCCAAGGGTACACTGTCTGAGCAAGAGAGGCCGCCCCCCCCCTAAGGGCGAAGACGGAGGAGGCGGAGGAGGAGGAGGAGGCACCACCAGACCGAAACGAGTGCGCAGAGCAGGAGCAGAGACAGAGAACGAGCAAAAAATGACGAGCACGCGCAACTCGACGGGATCGGAAAATTGCCCGAAACGATTTATCTAAGACGAAGCCAAAAACAGGCAGCGTCCGCAGAGAGAAATGGACGGCCCCCCCCCCGCCACTCCCCCGCGATGGAGTCCTTATCCGCCTCGAAGGATATAGGTGGCGTCCTTACTGGACGCAATGCCTCGCAGTGGCCCCAGGGCCGCGAGCGCGGATCCGTCGGCGGGGCCCGCGCGCCGCACCGAAGGGACAATGCAAGGGTGGCCCCAGCAAGGCGGACCCGGTGTCCCCGAGCGCTACTAGGCCGAACAGGGCCTTGAGCGGGGAGGTGGGCATCAGGGAGAACAACACCACGCGCGGCCCAGGACGCCCTCCGCAGCGGACCCCCGGAGATCCGAGCCCTTCTCGCAGGGCGGGGGCCCGTGACCAGGGGCCGAGGGCCGAGGGGCCTTCGGGTGCGGCCCACCAGAGGACCAGTCCTGCATGGCGCCCCCCCCGCCTGGTACGCGGATGGGGGGCAGGGGGGGGGGGGGCGGGCACGGGCTCCTCGGACCCTCGGGGGCGAACGGCCTTGGCCGGCCTGCCCGCCGCCTCCCAAGGCCCCCGCCCCAGCGCTCCTCCTCCGCCCTGAACCGCGCCCGCTTAAGCGCCAGAAGCCGCTCTCAAGGCCGTGGGTTGCCAGGGGCGGCGGCCCCTCCACGTCAGTAAGGCATTGTCGTTACTGGTGTCGCGCCTCCGCCCCCACGTTTCCCCCCTGCCCCTTCAGACCCCCCCCCTCCCCACAAAGGCCCAGAGTCACTCGCGCACAGACTCACCCACGTTCAGACTCACTCACACTCAGACTCACTGATACGCGTTCACCCTCAGGCTCTTCAATCGTCCAGACCTTGTCACACTCAGACTGAGGGGCAACAAGGCTGCGAGGCTCAGGCTACTGCATCCTGCTACCATTCGGCAGATCCTCGGTTTCAGTGCCAGTCCCAGTGAATCGTTCCAGGGTCTCTGACGCGATAGGTCCTGGTTCCTGATTCCAAGGTTGTAGAGTTGCAGAGCGCGCGCCCCCCTGGCCAGAAAGGAATGCGCGACCCACCCCGAGAATCACATCCTCGAAAGTGCACCTCCTTTAAAGTTGGTTCCTCCACCGACGGAAGCGCTCGCATCACTAGCAGCGCCAGTACTGCCACCTTGAGCGTCGGTCTTGCGTTCCTTCTGGAAGCGGTGGACAGCCCTCTGGTGCTTCTTCTTGATTACTGCGGACCCTGTTGCTGTCGCGACGATGGCGGCGTGGATATCTTGCGGCCTTGGTCTTGAACGCTGCCCGGGATGTGCGATCTTCATCGCTGACAGCATCACGTTCCGAATCCAACTCATCACCGCTTATAAACTGAATGAAACACGCATCAGCGTCTGCCGGCGGCAGCTTCGACAAATAGATGGCCGAGCCACTTGGTGCAGCTGCTTGTAAACTTGGTTGCGCCAAGGTTGCCCATGGTGCCCATCGAATGCTGCTAGGTCGCCGCCAAAGCCTTGCAAGAACGCGGCCAGGATCTTGCCAGAACGATCCCCGGAGATTCAGAAGCCGTGGATATCTCAACGTACTCTGGATCCCACTGCACGGAGAAGCAGCGCGCGAGCCAACAATGATAACGGAGCCAGGTCACTGATGAAGGAGGTCTGGAGATCTGCCGAGACCGACAAAACTGCATGGCTCGACGAGAAAATCTCGAGCGGCAATTGGGAGGCCATTCGAAAATACTGTCGCCCAGAGCCGAGCCGGCAAGGAAGGCTGCGAAATTTGGACGGCAGACCGGGGGACAGCGAGGAGCGCGCTGACACCATGGCATCTTTTTGGGAACCAGTGCCATGGAGCTCGCGCGCTTTGCCAAGGCGACGAACAGCGCACCCCTGGGCCCAAAACTGCCAGTGTCCGAAGCTCCGTTCGCAAACCACGAAGTTGGCAAAACTGCGGGGAAATTGAAATGGAACAGAGCTTCCGGGCCAGACGACGTCCCGGCGGAACACTGGCAGGCAGCTTCGAAAACGCTGGGTGGGTTAGAGCGGCTCACAGACCTGTGCAACGCGTGTCTGGAATCACAAGGGATTCCGACACATGGGCAGCTGACGGCGATTAGCACCATCTACAAAAGCCAAAAGGGCAGTGGACCAGCGTGACAGCTACCTGCCGATCAGCTTGGCATGCGTCGCGTACAATGTGGGCCGACTGCAGGCCGCCAGCGCCGACGAGCGCCTGATTCGAACGCAGCTCGGATTCCGGCGGGGGAGAGGCGCGACTGATGATACTCACGCCGTCAAGAGGTACATCGACCGTGCGAATGCCGAGAAAGACGGGATCATCGCTATGGTCGCCCTCCACTGGGAAACAACTTTCGACTCCATCAACGTTGAAGCGATGGGCGAAGCTATCCGGAAAGTCGTCGTATCTGGACAGATGCTGTCAGTCAACAGCAACATATGCAATCACCGCAGATTCTACGTGGCCGACAACGGGCGCCAGTATCGGAAAAGGCGGCAACTGTCTGGAATGTCGCAGGAGTGTCCACTGTCGCCATATCGTTTTGTCATGTTGAAGTCGGCAGTCGTGGAAGACGCCATCAGCCAGGCGTATGATAGCATTGCGTTGTCAAATCTGCTTACGCCGACAATACGGCTCTTACTTGGAAACACCAATCCCATATACAACGGCTTCTGGATGGAGTAGCAGCAGCAGGAGCCCAGGTGGGCATAGAGCTACACTGGAATAAGTTCCAGCTGCTACAAAGAGCGACGTTGGCATTCGGTTCCTAGAGGAGCGAGAATCAAGCCCAAAGATCACAGGGTCTATATGGGAACAAATCTGTACAGTTCTGGTCGCCTTCGCAGCGAACTCAGCCTGCGCATCGGGACCGCCTGGGGCATGGAAGCATACGTCACTCGCCAGAACCAGGAAGCTCCAGACTTTCCAAGCAATGGTAACGAGCAAGATGCTATACTCTTTGGGCTTTGCGTGGCTGAATAAATCAAAGCGGCGGCGCTGGGATGGCTTGCAGGCAAAATGCCTCTGACGGACCTTGAAAATTGCCCCGGCACATGTTTCGCGCGTCTCGACCAGGAACGTCCTCGAGGCCGCTGGCCAGGCTCCACAGCGCACAGCTGTCGATAACCAACTTAAGTGGTGTGAAAGACTCGGGAGGGCCGACGACCAGGAAACTCTCAGAGAGCTGACCCTGCAAACGGGGACAGTGTTGCCTGCTGCGGCGCAACTCCATAATTAGAAGGAGGGGCCGGCCGAGGAGCGATTGGGCCACGTGTTTACATCAGAAAGTTCACAATTGTTTGGGGTCCAACGAGATGCTGTTCGATTTCGTACAAGATGAACGTCGATGGCGGGAGTTCGTCGACAACCTCATCGACGAGTTTTGATGCTGGCGAGCCCTGGCAGGCACACAAAACTCATTATCATTCATCTTGGTTCCGTTTTGCCCCTGCTGTTGCTGTTGTTCTCCATCCTTGTCTCGCTTTCTCCTCCTCCTCCTCCTCCTCCTCCTCCTCCTTGCTGTGCAAGCTGTGCTGAGCTTGTTTCCCCGCCCACGCGCTGAAGGCGCTGGCGGGAGTGCGAGTGCGAGTGCCGCCGAAACCTTAAGCCAAATCTGATTCAGAGGCGACAAGGTGCGCCGCGAATTGCAACCACCTACGAGCGATTGCGATATCCTTCATGCATGGCTCAACACCTGCTTTGCACGTCGGTGCGCGATGCCCGTCTCATAGATTTCAGCCTCCAGGAGTGGATTGAAAAGTTTCTCTTCGGGCTTGGCTGGGTGCCTTGATCACATGTCCGAATCAAAATCTCCAAAACAAATATTGGACGCCCCACAACACTCAAAAATATCTCACGGGAAATCTTGCCTCTCGGGAATCTCCTGCCGTAGCAAAATCTCCCGGAAAATCTTGCCCCTCGGAATTCCCCAGGGAAATCTCACGGGAGATCTTGCCCCTCGAAAATATCAGTGGAAATCTCCCGAGAAATCTTGCCCCTCGAAAATATCCACGACAATCTCCTGGGAAATCTCCTGGGCAATCTGGCCCTTCGGAAATATCCCGAAAAAACTTGCCCCTCCAGAATATCCCGGAAAATCTCAAGGGAGACCTCCTGGAACAAAGTTCCAAAAAGATGTCCACTGAGATGTCCTACATCCCAATACATTATAATGAATCCTAACACATTCCAGACACCCCAGATATTGCGCCCCTCAGAATTCTCCCCGAAAATCTTGCCCCTCGGACATCTCTGGGGAAATCTCCCGGAAAATCTTGCCCCTCCAGAATATCCCGGAAAATCTCCAGGGAAATCTCCCGGAACAAATCTCAAAAAAAATGTCTGAGATGTCCTACGTCACAATACATTCGAATTAATGCTGACACATTCCGGAAACCCAAGAAATTTCGCTCCTCGGAAATCTCCCAGAAAATCTTGCCCCTCGGACATCTTTGGGGAAATCTCCCGGAAAGTCGTGCCCCCTCCGAAATCTCCCGGGAAATCTCCCGGGAGATCTCCCAAAACAGATCTCCCAAAACAGATCTCCCGATACATTCAAATTAATCTTAATACGTTCCGAAAACCCCGGAGGATTCGTCGGATATTCTCGCGCGGGCGGGAAGGCTCGGAGAATTCGCCGGAGATTTCCACCAGAAGGGGGGTTCCCGGAGATTTCGGTGGAGATTTGGCTCGGAGATGTCGCCAGGGGGATCTGCTTTGGAGATCTGAGGGGGACCCGGCACTGCAGCCGGAGATTCAGGGGAAGAGTTTCGCAAGCTTTCTGGCCAGAATAGCTTCGGACATGTGATCAAGACTCCCCCGATCTGAGGCTTGGCCAACTGGGTATCGAGCTGGGTGGCCAATCCGAGGATTGCTGCAGCGACGATAGACTTAAGACTGACCAGGCCGCTGTCGGTTATCGTCATCTCTGGGGATGCTCACGCCTCTCACCATCCGCGACGCTGCCGACGCCAAGACATCCGCTTGGTGTTGCTGTGAGCCCAATTTGCACTTGGATGCTTGTGGGCACTCCTTCTGAGGTCTCGAGGCATGTGCCACATTGTTAACGATATGCCTTGGCCCAAAATGCCAGAAACGAAACGATTCTGATTCGTGATGGTCACAAGACAGATCGTCGTAGTCATCATCAACCTCCTCGTCCTGCTCCTCTTCCTCCCCTTTTCTCCTCCTTATCAGCATCAGCATCACCACCATCATCATCATCAACAACAACATCAGCATCAGCATCAGCATCAGCATCAGCATCAGCATCATCATCACCAGAATCATCATCATCATCATCATCATCATCATCATCATCATCATCATCATCATCATAATCATCATCATCACCGCTACCATCATCATCATAACCACCACCACCGCCATCAGCATCAACAACAGCATGACCATCATCAACATCCGCATCATCATCGCCATCATCACCACCATCACCATCGTCATCATGATCAATGTCTGTATCATCACCACCACCAATATCCTCATCACCACCAACGACATCATCATGACCATCATCAGTAGCATCATCATCTTCATCATGTTCACCATCGTCATCACCACCACCATCCTCATCATAACAACCATCACCATCATCATCAACCACAACACCACTATGACGATCCTCATCATAACAACCATCAGCATCATCAACACCATTACGACCATCATCACCACCATCACCATCGTCGTCATTCTCAATATATGCATCATCTCCACCACCATTATCCTCCTCCTCATCATCATCATCAACAACAGCATGACCATCAGCATCATCAACAACAAGGTCTTATTGTTATTGATAATAAGTTCCGTCTTATTAAAAGCCCAAGAGCAGAGCCGCGATCGGGCAAACGCCCCCGACGAAATCCCAAGAACCTAAAACCACAAGAATTCCCAGAAATCGCGCACGTTCCGCAAACTCAGTTTTTCACTGTTGCTGCCGCCCCAAGGGGTTGGCGGTGCGGCGTCAGCCAATGATCATAATCATAATCATACTACTCATCACCATCCGCATCTTCACACCACCGTATGGAGGGAACAGGATACGTAGCCCTAGCCAGCCACGCGGTGCTCTCGTCCTTACTTCTTACGTCTTCATTCCCAGGGCGGACGAGGTCAGTGACTCGCCTCGGCCAGCACGAAGCAGAGAGACTACCGAGCGGAGGTTCTGTAACATGCTAAGGGTGGGCCAGGACAGCGAAGATTGAGCACCGTGTATCCGACCCCCATCCCCAGCGGCGTGGCCTGGGCCCCACTGACTGATTTACCCCCCTAGATGGGGATATGGGCCCAACTGGGGTGGTAATTTGGTGGGGGTCTCGAAGGGGATGAGGATGGGGATGGGGGTCGGTTACACGATCCTGAAAGATCGCCCAATACGGCCCCACAACTCATCCACTCTGCGCGAGCCGCGGAGGCCATCTCCGATCTGCGGCGGCCCTCGCGCTGCGCGGCCGCCACCCACCGCTCCTCGCTGCAGCGGGCGCGGCAGGGCGCTTCTGCGCTTCTTGTCCACCTCCTCCTCCTCCTCCTCCTCCTCCTCCTCCTCCTCCTCCTCCTCTTCCTCCTCTTCCTCCTCCTCCTCATCTTTCTCTTTCTCCCCATTCTCCCTCCCCCTCCTCCGATGACGACGCCCACCACACCAGTGCACAGGAGCCGGCGCGGGCGGACGCGGGGGGGCGGCACCGTGGCCATCCCGCGCGCAGTCCGAGGCCCAGGTGGAGCAGGTCTGCCGATCGGCGCGCAGGAAAGGGGAAGGGGGGGAGCCAGTAGGAGGGAGGAGAGGAGAGAAGAGGAGAGAGGAGGGCGAGAGGGAGGGAAGGAGGTAGGAAAGGAGGGATGCTGATGATGAGGATAAGTAGAAGGAGGAGGAGCAATTGGAACACTTGCGCAGCACAGCGTGCAGGAAAAACTACTCCTCCTCGTTTTCCTCCCCCTCCTCCTCCTCATCATCATCAGCATCATCAGCATCAACATCAGCAGCATCACCGTAATCCAATTCCTCCTCTTCCACCCTCTCATCATCATCATCATCATCATCATCATCATCATCATCATCATCATCATCATCATCATCATCATCATCATCATCATCATCATCATCATCATCATTAGCATCATCATCATCAGCAGTATCATCACCAGATCATAATCGTCATCATCATGACCATCATCGTCATAACAATCATCACCATTACCATCATCGTCATCATCATCATCAGCATCATGAACATCATCAGCATCATCATCACCGTCATCATCATAGTCGTCATCGTCAGCACCATCATTGTCGCCGTCGTCATCGCCATCGTCATCAGCATCATCGTCGTCGTCATCACCATCGTCATCCGCATCATCATCATCACCATCATCCTCATCATCATACTCCAACACCTCCTCCTCCTCCTCATCCTCCTTATATTTGTCGTTACCGTCGTCGTCGTCATCACCATCGTTATCAGTTTCATCCGCATCAGCATCATCATCATCATCATCATCATCATCATCATCATTAGCAGCATATTCCTCACCATCCTCATCATATTATAATTCCTCCTCCTCCTCATCCTCATCATCATCAGTATCATCAGTATCATCGTCCGCATCACCATCGCCATCAACATCATCATCAGCATCATCATCATATGCAACCTCCTCCTCTCCTCCTCCTGCTCAGCATCATCATTATCGACATCGTCGTCGTCGCCACCATCGTCATCATCATCCTCCTCATCCTCCTCATCATCATCATACTGTAACCCCGACTTCCCCCCTCATCATCATCATCGTCACCATCATCAGCAGCATCGCCATCGTCATCACCATCGTCACCAGCATCATCAGCATCATCATCATCCTCACCATCATACTTCAACACCTCCTCCACCTCCTCATCCTCCTCATCATCATCATTATCGTTACCGCCGTCGTCGTCATCGCCATCGTCACCAACAGCATCATCATCATCACCCTCATCATCCTGACGATCATCATCATCCGCATCCACATCCGAATCATCATTACAAATGTCATCATCATCATATTCGCCCCTTCCATCATCAGATTTACCATCATCAGCAGCATCATCGTACTCATCACCATCATAATCATCATCATCCCCACCATCATCGTAATCATGGTCATCACCACCATCATCTATACTTGCTTGCGTCATCATGTTCCGCGGCAGCACCATCATCACCAGCATCATCACCACCACCACCATTGTCATCAGCATCATCGTCATCCTCATCAGCAGCATCAGCATCATCATTATCGTCATCATCATCAGCAGCATCAGCATCGTCAGCATCATTACCATCAGCATCCTACCCCTACTCCTACTCCTACGCATCCACCTCCTCCTCCTTTTCCTCCCCCTCTCCGTTTCCTCCTCCCTCGTTCCTCCTCCACCTCCTCCCTCCCCCAGTCTTTTGCCTGAATATTCATATGTCCTGAAAGATGTTCCGAGGATATATCATGTTCAGTGGGCTTCGCGGATGCCATGGGAAGAACAAATAATGCCGCTAAGTTAGCAATAAAGTAACCCTGAAGGGAGGAGGTCGGCCCGCCGGCCGACGCACGCGCGCGCGCGCCGCAAGTACGCTCCTTTTCCTTTTTCCTAGAGCCAAACAGCTGCAGGTAAAACATCCAAGCAAGGAAGGGCAGCAAGGCGGGCAGCAGAGTGGTGGTGCGGAAGGAGTGCATTGACTCCTCCTCCTCCTCCTCCTCCTCCTCCTCCTCCTCCTCCTCCTCCTCCTCCCCCCCAGCCGTCCCCCTCCCCCCCCTTCTCGCATTCCTCCGATGACGATGGCCGCCTTGCCGCAGCTCTGGCGCGCACCCATCGCGAGAGCGCGCGCGCTCGCCCCTGGGGGGGGGGGGGGCTGCGCCGGCGGCGCTGGCGGAGGGGGGCCCCGCTTTCGGGCCCGCGGCGCGGGCAAGGGCGGAGGAGAGGTGGCAAGCCGTACACGCCCAAGGTGCACCGGCACAGAAGGCGAAGCAGGGTGACAAGAAACGACACCCAGGTGTCAACGATGCTGGTTGCGCTGGATTTCACGGGTTTTCCAAGCATTTCGGAGGTCGTCCCAGGTCCCGAGCGCTCTTCTCCTCCTCCTCCTCCTCCTCCTCCTCCTCCTCCACCTCCTCCTCCTCCTCCTCCTCCACGTCCTTGCGATTTCCTCGAAGGGTCGTCTCTGCTGCTAGGCATTTGGGCGACGACAAGCATAAACGTTCGGAGGTCCGTGCGGATCTCCGTGAAGTGCATGTGCATGCCGTTTAGGTGTGACACGAGCGGATCGTCTCTTGGGGCTGCGGGGGCCCCTAGGGCCGCTGTCGATGGGGCGAAGTAGAGCAAACCCTAGAAAACTGGACTGTGGTGCAAGGAACAAGCTGAGCACAAGAGGGCAGCAGAGGCGGCAGGGTGTTGGGTTGCACCGGAGGCTGCCGGCGGGTCTTTGGGTATATGCGAGGCTCTGCAGGTGCGTGCCATTGGAGGTCAAAGATGGGCCAGGTCAACTTAGCGTGCACGTGTAGCCTTGGGCGTGAGAATGGGGACCTCACCCCGCAAATGATCCCTGGGAACGCCCAGCGAGAAGCGGCAAGGGGGCAAAATTGAGGGACACTCAGCCCCTCACGTGGAAGCGGTTCGATCTTTTGGCCAGGTTTGGGCTGACCCAGGAGCTGGTCTAAGCATGGGCGACCCGTGCACAGCGCCTGGGGGCTTCGCGTCGCAAAGCGAACGAAGTGACCGGCGATGAGATCGCCCCAGAGAAGTCATGCGAAAGAGTCAAGACCCCGAATCGTGAAAACAAGAACACATACCAGAAGGCGTTCGACCACTTTCGGCGCCTGGGGGGCCCTTACCGGGCCCCAGGACCGTAAAAGAACTACTCGGGATGAAAAAGAGGTCCCAAGAAGGGGTCGAGACCTCCTGTGGTCCGCGAGTTATTGGCAGCATGCGAGGCTCTGCAAGTGCGTGCCGTTGGGGGCCATAGGCCAAGTAAGTCTATGCGTGCCTGTGCAACCTAGTCGTTAAAAAAGGATAACACTTCTCTCCATAACGGTCCCTCGGAAACGCCCAGAAAAGACAAGGGTGGAAGAGCAGCGGGTGGGTGAAACCGAAGCCTCCAGAGAACCGGTTTCCCTTCCCCTCGATCATCATCATCATCATCATCATCATCATCATCAGCATCATCATCATGATCATCATCATCATCGTCACCATCATCATCATCAGCAGCATCATTATCATCATCAGCAGCATCATCATCAGAATCATCATCATCATCACCACCACCACCATGACCACCACCACCACCATCATCATCATCATCCCCCTCATCATCATCATCATCATCATCATCATCATCATCATCATCATCATCATCATCATCATCATCATCATCATCATCATGATCATCGTCATCGTCATCGCCATCGTCATCGTCATCATCTTCAGCACTATCATCACAATCATCATCTCATCATCGTCATCATCATCACCACCATCATCATCATCATCATGTTCAGCATCATCATCATCAGCATCAGCATCACCAACATGATAATGATCATCATCATCGTCATCATTATCAGCAGCAGCATCAACATCATCGTGCACAGCAACATCATTATCATCATGATCATCATCGTTGTCTCCTATCACCACCGACACCATCATCATTGTCATCATCACCACCACCATCGCCATCGTCATCATCATCTTCATCAGCAGCATCATCAGCATCATCATGAGCATCATCATCATCCTCATCATCGTCTTCCTCATCCTCATCATCATCGTCCGCATCGTCTATCATGTTCATCAACACCCTCATCCTCATCGTCATCATCATCATCATTATCATCATAATCATTATCGTCATCATCATCGTCATCATCATCAGCATCATCATCAACACTATCAGCATCAGCAGCTGCATCATCATCACCATCGTCATCAACATCATCATCAGCATCGTCAGCATCATCATCAGCATCATCAGCGTCTTCATCATACTCATCGTCCTCGTCTTCTTCATCGTCATCACCATCACCATCACCATCATCAGCATCATCCTTATCGTCCGAATCATCATCAACAGCATCATTATCATCATCAGCATGGTCGTCATCGTCATCATCATCAGAATCGGCATCGTCATCGTCATCATCATCATCATCATCATCATCATCATCCTCATCCTCATCCTCATCCTCATCATCATCATCATCATCATCGTCATCATCAGTAGCATCATCATCAACATTAGCAGCATCAGCGGCAGCAGCACCATCACCATCGCCATCAGCATCATCAGCATCATCATCATCATTGTCATCATGGTCCTAATCATCAGCATCATCAGCGTCATCCTCATCCTGCTCTGTCCTCCTCATTTGTCCTCCTACTCCTCCTCCTCCTTCTCCTCCTCCACTTCCTCCTCCTCATCATCCTCATCCTCACCCTCATCATCAGCAACAGCATCATCAGAATCATCATCGTCGTCGTCATCGCCATCATCATGTTCATCATCATCATGATCATCAGCAGCATCATCATCATCATCATCATCATCATCATCATCATCATCATCATCATCATCATCATCATCGTCATCGTCATCGTCTTCGTCATCGTCATCATCAGCAGCATCGTCGTCGTCTCCGTAACCACTTTGGCAAAAGTCTTTTCGGCGGAGCCAATTCCAGTGTACACCCGATCCACGATCGCTGACTATCATTCATATCTTCGACCTGCGGGTCTTTCATGTTTCTTGCCCTCTCGGTGCTGAGCCTGGACATCAGCGCAGCCCTCCGCATCCCCGTCGCTTCCTACCAGCGTCTGGATGACGTGGGATCAGAATCACTGGCGCAGCCAAGGCTGGGAGCAGCACATGGCAGCTGGACCAGGAATGGCCAGACCTGGGGCGGAGGTTCAGCCTCGTGGGGGGCCAAGTCATGAACTGCAAGATCTGCGGTGCACAAAGCTGGACGCCCAAGACCAAGTGCTCCAAATGTGGAGCACACAAGAACGTCAATCCGACTTCTTCGACAGCGACGGCTGGTGCCCCTCCGCAGGGGCCCAGAGGAGTTACAACGCAGCTTCAGACCGTAGCAGCGAAGCTGCACGCAGCGGTTCCCGAGAGCCCGCAGTCCCCTCCCGAGGCCATGATGCCGTCGGGAGCCTCGAGTTCTGCCACAGACCTCACCACGGCGCAGAGGCAGGTCATGATCGCCCAGCTGGAGGCCGCAGCGGCCAGGCTGGCGGGCTCCGAACACGACACCGTCAGGCAGGAGATCCAGCAGGAGATCCTGGCGCACCGGAAAATCATTCGCGAGGTCAAGCCCCTCGGCCAGAGGTACGACGGGTGCAAGGACGCACTGACCCGGGCACAGCGGCGGCTAACGCAGGCCCAGGAGGCTCAGGAGCTGGCCGCCAAGGCCGCCTCCGCGGCGGAGAAAGAGGTGAAGCAGCGGACGGCGGAGCTGGCCGAGCTCGAGGCCTCGGTAGCCACGGCGAAGGACAAGGACACCGACCTCAAACCGAAGCCCTCCAGGAGTCCATGCAAGCGGCCGCCCAGCAGCTCCGGGAGCTCGACGGCGTGGACGCATCAGTTCCCGAGGAGGCCACGAAGCAGAGCGACGTGCTCCCCAAGCGCTTCGGAGCCACCACGCAGGAGGCGCAGAGGCGGGCCGCCCTCCTGCGGGCGGCGGGCCCCAGGCACCGCCACTCGAGCACGGGGCGGCCCGTCCCCGGGGAGGACGCTCCTCGGCACCCCCCTTCTCGACGGCAGGGCAAGCAGGCCGTGCCGACCTACCAGGCGCCCCTGCTGAAGTGCTTCCGGACAGGGCTGCACCTACACGGTGCTACTCGTTTTCGTTTTGTTTTCGTTCTCCATCGTTTTGCCTTCGGTTCGCCTTTACCGCAAGACGAAATCGAAACGAGAACGGCCCACGAAATCGCCAAAACACCGTTTAGGTCCAGCCCTGCTCCCCGACCTCGGGGGACAGCCGGCCATGCCCAACCCCAAGGGGGCGGTCGGCAGGGCCAGCGCCTGGCTCAGAGAGCGCGCCCCCGAGCCATGGCCCGATCCGCTCCAGACCGGCGGTAACTCTTCGAGCGGGCAGCGGCGTCGAAGCCGGCTGAATCACGAGAGGTGGCATCATCATCGCCAGCGTGCTGGCGAGACGATCATCGAGAATTGCAAAATCACCTCAGCGAATGTACAGACTCTGGACCCGCACGAATCCCGGCAGATGCGTCGGTTGGGCAGGCCCACTCGGCCCGCACACTGTGCATGGACGACTTCTTCCACGAGCGCGGCACCCAGCTCGTCGGCGTCCAAGAGGGTCGCATCGAGGACAACTGGTGCATCGACCTTCCGCATGACTTCGCATACACGTCCTCGGCGACCGCGGACGGACAGGGCGGCGCGCAGATCTGGCTCCACGGGTCCCTGAAAACCTCCTCTCGGGCAAAGGATCCCATCGCAGGAGCTCCAGGACCCTGATCCTGGAGTCTTCCAGGCTCACATTGGCTGTCTCAGCCGTCAGCGCCCATGCTCCAACAGCGGTGGCTCCCTATGAGGAGAGGAAGGCTTTCGTTTAGGCAAAGTTCGAATCCGAGCTAGGCAAGGTCAACCATCCGAGCAGCCTCCTGGCACTCAGTGACGCCAACGACGACGGTGGCGCCAAGGGCAGCAACGCCAGCTGCTGCTTTTCCGCGGAACTCAGGGAGGTTTTCGCCTTGACCGACGTCGCAGAGTGGCACGACTGCACCGAGCCGACCTGGTTTGGCAACACCCTTTTCCCGAGGCACTGCGACCACATATGGACCTCGGACTGGTGGCTCCAGAGGCCTGTCGCTGCCGGGGTTGAGTAGGAACCAGTGGTCTTCACCACCATGGA